CAATGGAACGTAGAGATTCAGGAGCATAAAACAATGGAACGTAGTGGTTCAGGAGCACAAAACAATGGAACGTAGTGGTTCACGTGCATAAATGTATCGGACAGCAGTTGTGAGGATAATACCGTGGACTGAAATGTCATCAGAATTTCTGTTTTAATCGTACCAGTCGACTGGACAAATTGTGATCCGTCACGACACACTCTCAAAATATTCGTTCGAGTATTGTCCTATTAACCAGAGGTGTAGTTCATCTACGTGGTCTCGTAGAAACACGAGGACTAATTTCACGTCGGGTGGGTTTTCGTAGAGGATTCAGAAAAATGTTAATGCGTGCGCTTACCCTTGCCGCGGCGACACTTTTCTCCGCCGAGACGCCGTCGAGTTCCACCCGCGCCCTGGCCGCTGTCGCGGCGCTTTGCTCCTTGTACGAGACGTCGCCGGCTTGTAAAGCTCTCATCTCGGCGCTGTTCGCGGTCGCTTTCTCCGCGCTGAAGCCGTCCGTGACTACCTGGAATTTTTTTTTTTTTTTTTGGGATCGACGGTTATGACAAGTTGCAAACACAAGATGATATTACAGCAGAGTGAAAAGACAAAGAAATAAATCAAACGAGAATCGTTAGGTCTGGATCATCCGCGTGATTGAACATTTGAATTTCGCGGATTCAAAAATCCCTTAAGCGATAATTGTGATAAAATCAAAGTAATGAGATTAAATATCTATTGCAAGTTACTGTGTACAAACTTAAACTGTTTTCTGAATAAAAAAATCACTGAAATGTGGTATAATTACGAATATGTTTCTTATTTTCCCTAAATTTTACTTTAAACAGTAAGTGATGTAAAAATGCCATCTTTGCATGACAGGTATACTCTACATAAATATTGAAAGGGTTAAGAGAAACCAAATTGTCCCCTTCGATAGAGGACACTCCAGATTCTTGCACGACGAAAAAAATTAAACTGATTTGAATTTTTAAATCTATCGCGTGTCTAATATAAAACACAGACGAAATAAACAACAATCCGGAATCATTTCCTTTTCACGATATTAGGAAGATGGTATACGTCGAACAACTGAGTGTAGAGAATGAAATTTAGAGGGGAAAAAACTGACCTCGCTCTCGATGGCGAGAAAGTGCTTCGAACGGTCGCGTGACGGAAGTGAAGTTAAAGATAGACACTCGAAGCGGAAAGAGATCAGCTGTCGACGGCAGGCAGTGTGACATTCGACGGTAAAAATAATCGGGAAACGGTCACGTGTTTTTCGAGGGAATGTCTTGTGGTTTCTGAAACAATCGAGCGGCCAGAAATTGACTCGCACGGTTTACCGTTTCGAATTCGATTCGAGGAACAGAGAAGAGACGCACAGGTGTGTGGAAGCACTTTGGGATTCGAAACAAAAGGATCAAGTATGGAACTGAACATCAGGGTTCAATGGTTCACCCTTAACTATAGATCACTCGTCTCAGAGATGAATAATCCGACAACGACTAACTTTTATAACACATTTAATAACCCAACCGACTATTATTTTTCCTTATTCATTGTTCATTGAACGTCAATTATTGCAAATTAAAAGCACTCAAACGTGTATAGCTTCCAAAAAATCTGTCGACGACTATGGTGATAGTGAAAGAAAAATTCAAATCGTTTCTGTGACGTATAAATTGTGGAAGTTTGTACATTTATACAATCTCCTAAATATAAAAACGTATTAAAATAAAGATTTTAATTAAATTTAATATCGAAAAGCCTTTAAGCACAAGGCACAAAATTCTGTGCAATTTTAGTTTTTGTATAATAGTATTTAAAGTTGTGAAGTGAAATAAACTTCCGCATTTTAGAGTGGTCTGTAGTTAAGAGTTAAAGACTATTTACAGGTAATAAAGGGTTGAGGATAATATTATGGAGTTCCACAGGGATACTACTGGTGGATACCTCACTGGCAGATGGGCCGGAAGAGTCTCATCTAGAGACAAGACTCAAAGTCCTTGACCTAGACTATCTCTAGAGGAAACCGCACCTCCGGCCAAACATTGCGCAGCCTCGTGTCGCCAAACTGATCGTGAAGTCCACGCGGGGCATCGATTATCACGAGGCGCAATATCGAACAGGAAGCTGCTTCGTGTCTAAAATTGTCCTCGTTTTTGAGAAGCTGCCGGAATTTCGATCGTGAATCATCCGGTTCTAAAGATCCACGGTAGCTTTGGTCCAAGATTTTGGATATTCAGACTCGTAAATCAATGGATATTTCATCGATTCTTGACCCCCCACCCCCTCTCTTTCGTAATATTATTCTAGAGAGATTTGATGCTCCTCGATAATCATTAATACAAGTTGGACACTTAACTGGTTTTTGAAACTTTAATGCCTGATGGAATAGCGTAATGGGAGATGACTATAATTATATCATATCGATAACAATCAGGAAACAGGTATCGATTGTTAACCGTAATACTGAATTGTATATTAAGCTAAATGTTAATCACAGTCCACAATAATAGAAACATAGTTTAACTACCGAAGTTCAATGCAAAGATTCACTGCTTTAATTGTTATAAACAATTCATCGTGGATCTGGACAAGTGAAGCATCACTGATCGAAGTATTATAATGAAATAAACAATACCGCTTTTGTCCACCTAATACCGTCCATGTGCAAAATTCTTCGGTTGGTCTGATCATTAGTATCCTCAATCTACTTAGCAAAGTATAATATAACCATAACCCAAGATCTATTAGGTTGGTGCATATGAAATCAACACTATTTAACCATTATTTCTCGTGCCTTATCTTCAATAATATCCCTTAAAATATTATTACCGATGACATTATCCAACCTTCCTCTTAATTAATTTTCCAATGAAAAATCACTAACCTTGAGTTTTACGTACATTTACATAACCTTCCCTCAAATACCAAATTCACGTTCTCAACGACTTTCGCGGCAATAGTTAGTATTCGAAACACGTGTATTACAGTATATCTCCTCTTCAACCCTTTTTGATTCATCCTAACAAGAGATTCGGAAACGATCATTATTGAAACTGTCGTTCCTGTGCATCCATCGTACGCTTCTTCTGTGAAAACTACAGCTGTTACATTTTACCAAATTTATACAATGTTTTTTAAATTACTAAACTTTTTCAAACAACGAGCCTCCTGCTTCCCAGTGGTTTTCAATCAAAGGGTTCAATATCGTTCAAAACAATCGAAGATCGGACAAAACTGGATGGATGTTATTGGCCGCAAAACATAAATGATTAACCTGACAGATGAATCCTTTGATATTCCAACGAGAATATCTTTCTTTGCTAGTTCTTTAACACTAATCGTACTGAAACCTATTTCTACCGTATGTAAAATCGGTTATTTGACCGGCGGTCGGTACGGTTCGTGTTAAGCAACCAGAAATAAAGCCTTTGTTACCTTAGTTTTGGAGGCGCTGGTCATCTTCTTCTGTTCGAACTTCATCGTCTCCTGTCCAGCAGGCAGACTGGTCATGTTCGGCATGTTCGACATGCTGATCGGCGGGCTCATATTATGAAGATTGTTCAACGAGTTCAAAGAGCTCAGCTGAGACGGCGAGCCCCCGGTTAACGTGACGGCCCCCGTGGCAGGAGGCGGAGTGTCGGGATCGGGAAACGTCACCAACGGCTCCGTTAGGTCGGCCTCCTCCGTTCCGTTCCCGTCTCTGCCGCCGAACAAAAAAGTGCTTTCAATAAAAAAAAAAAAAAGAACAAAAAAAAATGAGCAAAAGAAACAGACATCGGAGGATCTCTGGCCTCCACACGTTTCCCAGAGAGCTTAGCGCGACGCCGGGACGCAACAACGCTCGAAGAAGCTCGAAAATAATCGTCGGTGGATGGAGGGGCTAAAACGGGCATACGCGGTTTATAAATAATTCTTGGACCGTGACACTCGCGGGTGATTACGCGCCGCGGAAGAATCGAATCCGCTTCTAGGGACTTTTCGAACGCGTTCACACGATTCATGGAACAGTAACTGATTCTGTCGTGATAAAATTCAAATTACGGAAGTCAATGCCTTCGAACACTAATCGAAAATTTGCTGTATAACACATACACTACCGGTTGAGAATATGGGACCAGAGTTCATGATTCATGGAACAGTAATTAATTCTGTTGTGATAAAATTCAAATTACGGAAGTCAATGCCTTCGAACACTAATCGAAAATTTGCTGTATAACACATATACTACCGGTTGAGAATATGGGACCAGAGTTTACGATTCGTGGATCAGTAACTCATTATTCCGTCGCGATAAAATACAAATTACGGAAGTCAGTGCCTTCGAACACTTATCGATGATTTACTGTATATTAAGGTAAAAGACAAAAGGGGTCTGTATACCACCCACCTGTCCACGAGGTTCTCCATGCTGCTGCGCAATCGTTGGGAGAAATTGGTCGAAATGTTGCTCTTCATCTCGGATATGCCCCGTTGCAGTTCCCTCAGGTCGTTCTTCATCGAGCTGGCTTTCATTTCACTCGACGAGGACGAGGTAAGAATCCTCTGAGAGGATTTGGCCACCCTGCTCGAGCTGCTGCTGCTGCTCTGGCTCTGGTTCGTCGTCAGCATCTGCCGAGTCAAACCGTCGTTTACGTTCTATTTAAAATCCACGTGGGCTGACTCACTCTCTCGCCTATTCGTCTCCCTGTCCCCTTTTGCACCCCCTTCTCCGTCGCTGTTATTCCACCCCCACTCCCCACCACTGTGAACGACGCCGTTACCAGCGTTTTTCGCGGGAATTTCAACGATTTCGCGAAAGTCTCACATTTTCGTGAATTTTCGTTTACATAAAATCTGCCTCGATACTTCGAACCATTCGTAACGATTACGTAATCGTCCGATTTGAACGATCGAGGGTATTGTTACTGTTGGACCACCTTATATATTACGTATATACGAAGACCGTTTCTCATGCGCCTGTCGGACAAAGTGAAACGGCGGAATAAATTCAGGGGAAGTTTGTTCGAACAATTGACAGAAAGGCCTTAACACTAGAACTACCCAACCCCGTCAAAATGACGGACTACAGCAGGTTTCTTATTTTACAATTACCGAAGTTATAATAACGCTTTTTGTGGAATTTATTGTTTACTTTTGATTTAGTATACGTTTCATACGAGACTGTATTACGTTAGGTTGTATTATGCGTATTACTAAATTTTACAAGTTTATTCAGTATACATTTACTGCTGGTAGTTCTAGTGTTAAGGAACGCGGATCACGGGCGCGATACGCCGTTCGTTCTGGTAGATGTCCAAACAGTGGGGGACCAATAGTGCCAAACATCGTTCGACGAGAGGCGAACACGTTCTCGACGTCGGACGGAAGGAGCCTTGAAAGATGGCTGTTGTGTCACTCAAGGCTCCCGGACCTGGAAGTTTAGCCTCTTGCACGGGAGAGGAAAAAAATTCGCGTGGGCGACGACATTACGTAAAGGCCACGTTGTATGTACCCATTGGTGACTTGGCTGGATCATTCCGATTATTTCAGCTGGAACACGAGACGTTGATCGAGAGGATCGAGCAGGCACAATGTGCCGAAGAATACGACCGAAAGAACCGGTGTGTACAGTAGACTCGCGATAAATACCCGTTAGGAAAGTCCCATGTCTCAGTGACTAACAAATTTGTTCACGAATGACTGTTATTCCTTGTTTGATCAAATTCTGCACTGAAGTGTAAATTTCATTTGAAAATTAATTGTGACAAATTTATGATAAAAGTACCAACAATGAGGATACATAAATAGAAATTATAAATACATTTTTACAGTTAATTGTTGTTTTGGAAGTATATGCGAGTCATTTTACAATAATTACCAGCTTCCTAGAACTGCCTGCTTCTAGAACCCTAAATTCGGGTAATTATCGCGAGGCTAGTGTACTCTGTTCTCGATTTTGTCCTGGTTGATTCATAAGCTACCATAGCCCTCCTCCTCTTCCATTTTTTTTACGTTTCGAATTATATGAAAATTTCGGGGGAAAGAACAGATTGGAAGTCTACGACCGTCAAGATCGATCCGAGTTCTACGATCTGTTTGGGGAATTTCACGACTGGAAAGTAGTCCGCTGTCTGTTGGTTGTTTACGGAGAGAAGAATCGAAACGATCGGCTCTCCGTCGAGACGAAAATCGAGCGAGCTGGTGGATCCATGCAAGACGGACCGAGGCGTAATTAAAAGAGAACGATGATAACGATATCAGTGGGCGGCACTGAAACACGTGAACTTTGTATCGTTGCATAATCGTTTGGCTCCGCCGATAGATCGTGCTCCGAGGATCTTCTAACGCGACGTGTACCCACCTAGAGACGAACTCTCTCTATCTCAACCGTTTCAAATGCAATGATTCGGATTATCTAACAATCCCACATAATCGCAGCCACCAATCGTACGCTTCGAATTCTTTTTCGAAGTAAAATTCTTGCTTTCCAAGTCTCCACCAGGATTCCACAACGTTGTTTATCGCAACTAGATCGCTATAGGGGGACCTATTTCAGTTTAATTGTGATCGTAAACGATCGTGGATACAAATACATTGAATGTATTCGAGGTATCGAGCTAGGTTCGTATGACGGATTCCTCTTGACGGAAGCGTCTAAACAGCTCTATGTAACGTTTCGCGCCACGTGGATCGATTTGCTCCGCGATGGATGACGAGGACGACTTAATTTTGGCAATTCTCTCACGAAAGGGGGTGAATAATCCGAAGTTCAGGAAATTCGACAAGACTTGTGGGCGAGAGACGTCGCGACGCGACGATCCGTTTCTAGTAACGTGACGCAGAAAGTTACCGAAGATCATGAAGGTCATGTCGACGGGGCTCTTTAAATAGAAAGTTTCGAGAGAGGGTCGTTAAAAACCTTCGTAAGTGTTGTCTGAAGTAATATCCCCGTGAAAAGTCACCGTTCACGCGACACTGTAATTATTGGAATTTTTCTCACGGAGAAGGGCAAGCAAGATACTTCCATCGCACGAAAACGGCAGGAGAGTGATGTACAGGGTGTATCAATTAAAATGCAAGACACTTTCATAGGATGGATTCTACATGTAAAATTGAGACGTAGATCAAGAATGACGAAATTACGTTCGAGGCTTCGTTTCCGAGTTATTAATTGCTGGAAATACGCGTTGGAATACGTCTGACTCGACGGATTATTCTACTTAAGAGGCGCGTCATTCAACTGTTTCGCGAGTTCAGCGACTAATAACTCGGAAACGAAGCCTCGAACGCAATTTCTGTATCCTTGATTTTGAATTTAGTTTTGTATGTAGAATCCATTTAACGTGTCTCACATTTTTCTTAACTCTTTTTATATCGGCGATCTATAATTAGCGGTCTCGTCTTAGCTAATTCAAGTTTCCTTTCACTTGGTATTCAGATGCCTTCCGTGATTAATCGGGTTAACCCAGAAATCGGTTTATCCGTCGACGAGAGAGTGGTGCAACTGGATTATTCGTTCGAGTTTTCAAAAATTTACCTGTGACGACGTGGTGACCTGCGGATGATGGCTGACGTGGCTTCTACCTGACACCAGGTTGTTTTTCTTCTGCAAATTCTCCATGACAGTGTGCATGTCACCGTTTTCCCCTCCCTCCACGGGGAACTCCGACATCTGCAACGACATAAGTACAGAATTCTTTAAATGCTCCAAGTGTTTTCATACGGAATCACGATACGGTCATTATACAAATGTGCGCTACAATGCTGTTAGTCTGTTGTACGTTATAGGTCACGTTTTCTTGCTGTTTCACGCTCCATTACTGTACCAGTATATAATACTGTCATGTAATTATAATAACATATGATCCTATTACAGTGCTGTCCAAAATGATTATGTTTATAGCATAATCGTATGTTAGAATACAGTTAACCGTATAGTAACACATGTGTATAATATTGTATTTAGTGTTATAACATTAAAGTTACATATAACAATAGTGTGATAACATCATAACCATGTATATACCCGTACCATTGCACTATTACTCTATACTAAATTTATGTATCACAGTATTTATACATCATACTCCGAAATTTCTTCTAGTAAATTTTCCTTTTACCAGCATATACACATTCTAGAGAATTTTTTTTTGGATTAGCCTGCATACGTTTTAGTGATTTGTTGTCGCGCCTCGACGCCACCATTCACCGTACACTGAACCGAGAAGCAAACGATCGGAACTGCGAAACCAGTCGTGGACTGAAATCAGGCGAACCCGCCGAGGCAGACCGCTACACCTACGTGCTTCATTAATAATTGCCCGAAGCCGATCTACCAGCTGATCCCGGATGTTGAAAATTCGTTCGAAAGCGGTCGACCTTTCACGGTTAATTGGCTCCCGCGCGGCCCGAAAACGTATTTGTCTCCACGAGAAACATTTATATACACGTCCCCAGTCGAAATAGTACTACATAAGCTTGGACACTATTTTTCGCCGCGAACGAGAGGCGCTTAATTGAAATACAACACGCGATCCTGAATCTGGTTAAAAAAAAAAAAACAAAATAATCGAAACAGCACGTAGAAGCTTCGATGAAATTCTGTGGCTTCTATGTAGAAGCGTTGCTCTGAAACCAGTGTCGGACACAAGTTTAGTTAACAGTTTTTTTTAAACAATCAAATACACGGTAACGCGTATACTTTTTGAACTCGTAAAAAGTACTTTTCATAGAAGTATGTGCACAGGTGATACCTGAATCCACGAATGACACTCGGATACACAAGTGTACGTACAATAGAGACTCTATTCGAATTCCCGAATCGAAGGACTGGTACAGACGATGAAAACGATGCAGTTTGGTCGGGGGAATACCTATCTGACGCAAATGTCTGTCTCCTACAACTCACGTCGCGACACAGAGAATTATCGACGTGTCATCCTCGAGGATGACAATACCAGTGACTACCTGTAATTCCGTTGCTAGCAGACAGAGTAGACTGTAGACAGTACGTGAACAAATTCAAATTTCCTCTTTCAAGATGTCGCCAGATGTTAAAGTGGCACAGAGTTTCGATCCCAAGACCCTTCACGCCCACCCCACATTTCTAGTCGTTCCATGTGTCTCACAGTCCCCCAAAATATCATCGATATAGCTCCCGTTCGATTCCACGACTATACCCTGCGCCTCTTCCACCAACCGTACAACACACGTCTCTTGCACGGCGCGCACTAGGACGTTCTCGGAAGAAAGATATGCTAGGTATGCGGTCTCGCAACCCGTCTCGGTTACGTAAATCGAGCCTTGTGGTCAACGGAACCGATGGGGACACGTCGTTACGCAGGCAGTGTCTGAGTGTGTGTCAATAGCGTCCCCCGATAGTATTAAAAAAAAAAAAAAAAGAGACAAAGACGTTTAGTTTTACGACAGTTACACGGATACGTAGATACAGGATATGCCTCTGACAGGTGCATTCTCATCGTACAATTTCGAAATTTACAGCAGCAGACGAGAGACCATGCACGCGCACGTTTTGTCGCCGGTGCGGCAAACAGGTCATCTAGCGGCCACGAGGTGGAATACTGACCGTTTGACAGTTCACCGAGGGGGCCCACTTCCTCTAACCTCTATCTTCGCCGCCCCACCATAGTCTTTATCTTCTCGCGAGCCTCGAACGAACGTCGTCGATCGCAACGTCGATTCTCGTAACTGGTCGGGGACACTGGTCGCGAGAAAACAATTTTTCGCGTGTCATCGTTACTCGATAAAACGAGACGCGGCGGGCACACGGCCATACGCGTGTGATTCGGGGAGGACTTTTACTCGTCCGTGAGATCTCGGAAAATCAGCTGTGTGGGACTGACGTTTGACGAACGGTTAGTAGAGACGGAAAGACTAGGTTGGCACGAAAACGACACAGCACTTTTATAAACAATCATTCACGAGGTGAACCGCGCAACGGTCGCAGACGAACTGACCAGTGGCGCGACGACTGTGCCGCGTGAACCGCGACCATAGCGCCACGCTGCGGCGACCCCGCGAACTAATCAACTCCGCATGCTCGCCGCTCTGCACGCGAGGGAGAGAGAGAAACCCTCGAATTAAGAACGAAAACCGGGTCGTTCGACGGGATTCTAAGAACGGACTAAACGCGAAACTGAGGACGATTAACGCGACTAATCGTGACACGGCACGCCAACCGTCCGTGCATTTATTATGTTCGACCTTTGGTAATCGTTACGGTTCCTTTTTGCGGCAAGGGAGAGAGATTGTTGGGTTATCGTCTGCTGGGACAACATGGCGGCCGTTGGTACCGTCCGCAGATGTGACTTTTTGGTAACTGGTAACAATCCTTGCGAGCGTAACTATGTGAAGTATTTTCTGTTGTAATAGTATGGCAGAAATAGTATTTCGAATGGATTGAAATTGTGTCGGAACTTGAATATACTTTGTGAAACACGTAAAGCTTGAGGACAACAGCTGTCTCTGGGCAAGCATGGCGGTTATCGTTGACCTTGAAACTTTCACATTTCTTAATGGAATTCTTGGGAAACTGATAAATTAGTCGTGTCGTTAATAATGTCGTTTATTCGGTTTGAATGGTTGAAAAATACGAGGGATATACGTCTGACGCGACGGATTACCCTACTCGAGAGGCGCGTCAGTCAACTGTTCCACGACTTCAGCGATTAATAACTCGGAAACGAAGCCTCGGACGCAATTTCGTCATTCTCGATTTTCGTCTTAGTATTGAACGTAGAATCCACCCTGTGCAAGTGTCCCAAATTTTCATCAAAACCTTGTATATCTCCTCCATCCCGATCAACAAATATTCCCGCTCTATTCGACTACAAGAAACGATCGTGGTTCGATTACGGCGGAAAAAAGCGAGCATCTGGGGCGGATGGAAAAGAGGGACACAAAGGCTGGAATGCGGTCTAACGAGGTGCCCGAAGAAAACTCGAGGGCCTGAAGGTGGGGAGCTTGCGTCGCCTGGTAGAATTTTGGCGAAAGCGTATATACCGGGTGTCTTCAACGCCACAAGAACACGTGCTCTCTGGACACCAATGGAAAAGTGAAGACGACAGTTTCCGTCTAAAGCGAAACGGACAGAGAGAAAGGACGAGGGAGTGCGCAAAGGAAAAAGGAACGAGTGACGTTGAGAGAGAAAGAAGGAAGGAGGCAACTCGATAAACAGGGGGAGGGGGGGTATTCGAAAAAGAGCAATAGACACATGGTAGGCGCGGCAGGCCGTCTTGATAGGTCAGCGACCAAATAATATCCCAGTATCGTGTGCGGTGGCTTCTTTTCCGTCTCTCAGACGGGTCGGTTCGGTGGGACACGGAGGCGGCGACGCACGGAGCAACGTGCACACTTTGGCGCCACTTGATTTATCGACTCGTAAACGGGGCGCCGTAAACGCCCGTTGTTACGATTTCCGAGACGCCCGACGATTGATTTCCCCATCGGCTCGGTTTTGGATCGATTCGAATTTCCTGACGAGTAACGTGATCCTAACGAGAGTCGTTCGTCGAATGTTCCGCTGATGTATTGTGTCACGGAGCTTTCGGAGCTTCGTGTCAATTCGCCTGGATCCTTCTGATCTTCCGTTTGTTCACTGTTAAACGTGTGTGGAGCGATATGGTTGACGGACGACATAATTTGACGGACTTTTAAAATGAGTATTGCATCGATGCGATACTAAAAAAAAAAAAGGGTTAAAGGGCGAGACAAACACAGAGTGTTTCGGGAATTCAGACGTGTGAGACGACGCGTGTTCCTCGAGAAATCATTTTTGCCCCTCTCCTGGGGGTCGTAGAACCGGTTCAAGGTTGGAGAGCAGAACGGAAATAATTTTCTTATCCTTCCGTTTGTCTTCGAGCAGGCAAGGGACTCTATCGCCGGTGGAGCATTGGCAGAGAGACAACTGTAGGCGTGTGTTGGCTCTCCTCGGCCAGACACAAAGAGGCGATTCCGGAGACGTCTCCTCGTGACACTGTCCGTTGTACAAAGTCCGGTTGTTGGTGTGTACGTGCGTTATAAAGCCGCGTTCATAAGCCTTCGACCGACTTTAAGTCGGATTTCGGACCGACAACAAAGGATCGATTCGAGTCTGCTCCGTCGAATTAACCAACGATCGTGATAATTCACGAACTCGTCATTTTCGTGTAACTTCCACGCGAAATCCGAAGAATGCGTTGATCCACTACAAGAGAACGATCGATGACCTAAAAATTACTGCAGGTTCGCCGAGAATGTCGAAGCCAACAAAAAAAAAATTCTACTTCTATCGAGATCCTCGTAACAAACCTGTAAAGTTTTTCAAAAGAATAAAAAAACATTAAGGTTATTCGAGAAATTATCCTATGCAGTAAATACTTCACGAGTGTTCGAAGGCCCTTCAGACCATTAAATATTTCATAAACTAATGGCCATGTGCGGCTCAAAAAAATATCATTGGTTTGAAAATTCCAAGCTCTATTACTCTGCTAAACCTCATTAAAGTCAGCTTTACACCTGGAGACCTCTTCTTGTCAGTGCAGAGGAACCTCCGAACACTCATCGAGGATTTACTGCACCTCTATCGAGGAACCCTAACAAATTAGAAGTTTTCAAAATAATCGTAAAATTTTCGGGTTATCCGATGGTTTCTTCGCGACACAGCAATAATGT